TCGGGCGGCAGGGAGCGCGCGCACTAGCGCGCGGGTGCGACGCAAGCGCGGACGTCCTAAGTCGCGCGGGCATAGGAGAGGCTGGAGCGCACGCACGGGAGGAAGGCGGCAGATGTTAGGCGCGCGAGAACGTAGGGTGCGTGCGGAGCGGACGAACAAAGCCTAGTCCGCGCGGGACTAGGCAAGGCAGAGGCGGCACATGCGTGCGGAGTAGGGCGCGGGTTACCGTGCGCACCAAGGAATAGGAGCCAAGGGCAGCGCGCGCGAGAAGGAGGTCGACGTATGGAAGGCGGCCGAAGGTCCTAAGGGGCGAATTACTTGTTCTTCAAGTTGATTGGAGTGCAAGACAAGCATTTAATAATTATAGTAGTATTAGGATTTTATTTCCATGTTTCCTTTCATTAATAATTTAGGAGATCTAAATAGCTTAGGCTTAGATTTATTTTATTCACCTATAAATAGGGGTATCCCCTCATTGTTTTTAATGTCTTGGAATTGATGAGTTGAATAGAAAAGAACGTTTGTTCATCCGTTTGTTAGGGTTCGTGAGAGTTCGATCATGCAATCAAATTAGTGAGGTTAGGACCCGAGCTAGTTCAAAATCGGGGGGGGCGAGGCTAATTACCGAGTGAACTCAAGTATCGTGAGAGAGTTAGACTAATAACCGAGTCGATCATACCTATCAGTCGAGGGCGAGCTGTGGCGGGCTTGGTTCAAGGCGAGTCGAGTGGAACGCAAACACACGATTCTTCATCAGCGCGGTTGCACGCGCGCTGGCTGCCTGCGCGCGGCCTGGACGTGCTGAACGTGCACGATGGTCGTCCTGAGCAAATTAACACTTAGAAAAATTCTAAGAATTTACTACTAAGGCTCGGCTATACTTGGGCAAGACTTGGCACTACTAGGGCTCAAGAAATGCGTGGGCGCGACTTTTAGTGCACGTGGCACGTGAATGCTAAGGCTCGAGTCACGGACCACGGCTTGGTCCTACGGCAAGGATGAACGCGCGACTAGGGTTCGACACAGACGAAAGATATTTCGAACATAATAACCGATAACAACTCGAACTTAACATAATTGAACATTTAGCATAAAAAAAATGAAAAACTCAGAATTAAAAAAATAATAATATGAATTTCACTTAAAGTCGAGCAGTGAAACCGTTCTAATATTATTTTTGATCGGGGCGCTACATCTCATCTCTTACATGGAGTGCTATTTACAAATGTGTTATGGTTGCATGTTTTTTAGACATTTGAATGTGTAATTCTCAGTGGTTTTTTCTTTTATATGTTTGTTTTTGTTTGTATATTGCCGTGCATTTTTTGAATCTGGTCTAATTATTTTTTACCAAAAGCAATTTTGTTGGACATGCTCTGTAAGTGCTTATGGTAATCTCAATTTTGAGAGGACATTGGTTTATCATCCTTGTGAACTGAAAGGGCAGTGGAAAAAAAAATTCTTGTTGGCTCAAAAAATTGTGATTGGTTTCTATTCATAGTACAAGTGGAATCTTGTAAAATGGTGCATATTTTTTTTCTCTCTCTCTCTCTTTTTTTTTTGGTTGAAGAATAAGAAACATTAGTTTTCGTCATTTACCATATAAGCTAGACATCCTAATTTTTATATTAATTTTAAAAACTAAAAAAAGAACTAATATTTCATAATAAATCCTATCGAATTTAAAATTTCTGTCATTTTCTTATAAATTTTTTCAAATCTTTGTAAATGGATTTACACTAAGAAGTCACTTTGGAACATATTTCCCTACAGGCTTAAGATTTCACATTATTCTTTCAAAATCTGAAAAATTTAAAAAGTTTTAAAATGTCAGTCGAAATCTCAAACGAATTCAAATGTTGTAAACGAAAGAAATCAAATTGAAATGAATGTATTTGACGTGGACGATATGCCTTCACCGGTGATATCTCGAAATCCCAGAGCACGTTGTCGACATAAGGAACCGAGTGCACATCGACTTAAAGATTAAAGATGTCGACCTCCAAGCCAATCTCATTCCAAGCCATATACTAGACCAATCAGACATCATCTAATTATCTAAGCACCTGAATGGTCGAATGGGAAAACTCATCGTGTTTGGTATGGTTGTAAACAAATCAAAATTTTAAATTCAATTTGTAAACAAATCAAACATTTTAAATTCAATTCATGATTCGAATTCGGTATTCGTGATTAGTATTCGTAAAAAAATGAATTGAAATAAGAATAGTGCTTAGTATTTGAAATTTATTCGAATCTGAATCTGAATATGGACATGTTCGATTCATTAATAATAATTATATATAATTTTTTTTTAGCTCCCAATATTTATATATAATTTAATATATTATATATGATACAAAGTTGTACATGAGTTTTTATTCATAATATAATGTTAAATATAAATATAAGACACAACAAATATATTTATATTTTAAAAAAAAACATATTTATTTTATTTAAAAATAGGTTAATTTAAAAATATATATTATATTCAAAAAAATATGTTCAAAAAATATATAAATATATTTTAATATTTGTATAGGATGTCTGAAAACGAATACCGAATTGAATATAATACATTCGATTATCTTAATCGATTCGAATACGAATTACAAATTAAATTCGATAACGAATCGAATATGAATAGTCAAATACTACTACAAATTCGAATCGAATGATTGAGTAATAGCTTCGGTTTGATTCGTTTAGAACCCTAATATCGGGTGCCGCCTAGTACTTACTGTTTAGGCATGTAAACAATTTTTATAACATAGAATGTAATTAAATTTTTAAAGGTAAGTTTAGATTTTAAAAAAAAAAATGAACCACTATTATGATTTTTTTTTACAATTTCACAAACCTCCTTTACAATTTTGGAGTTAAATAGTAAAATATTATCCTACTAAATAATGTTAGATTATATACCATAACATATATTTGAGTTTTATATTGAAAGAATAACCTACCCATAATTTTAAGGTAGTTTTAATTTAGGGTAAATAATATTTTCCAACCTGTACTATACGTGCTTTTGGGATTTTCAACCTAAAGTATTATTTTTTGTAAAATACAACCTGGACTATATATACAATCACTATTTGCACGCTCGACCACATCTTGACCATACACGTGTCCTTTTTTGCTGTTGATCGAACGGTCAAAAAGTAGTCGAGCGTGCAAATAATTGTATATATGTAGTTCAGGTTGCATTTTAAAAAAAAAAAAAAATACTTTAGGTTGAAATTCCCAAAAGCACGTATAGTACAGGTTGGAAAAAATTATTTACCCTTTAATTTATTAAAACAATTTTGCACGGCATGTCCAATTAATTTCCCTCCCAATTTTCCCGCTATTCATTTTCATTTTCCCCAATGTTCCAAAACCCTTTCAACTTCCTATATCCTTTTATTTGTCAAATGTACATATCTATCGGCCGAATTTCCCAAACACCAAAAAGTTCTCAACCACTTCGTCATCGATCTCTCCTCTTCCCGGCCGATGATTATACCTAGGATTCAGCTGAAGCGTGAGTCTGCTTAACGTACTTTTATTTTTTGTAGATTATATTTCATTTTTGTGTACAAAATTTCTTGGAGATATGGGTTCCTCCCCCTTATATTAATATTAAAGCGGTATAAACTCAATTGTAATTGTTGGTACGTAACATAGGCAATTTTAAACTTTCTATTCTTTGTGATTATAAGGTGTTTGATAAATTGTCCAAGAAAGTCCAATTTATTTACAAAACCTGTGAAATCAGATATTGGACAATTTCTCCAGTGTTCAGAATGAAAGGATTTATCAAGGAATGTAATTGCTTGCTTCAATGGATGATAATATTCAAGTCATTGTAATAGTATTTTTGTTAAAAATTGTATAAAATGCATTCAGTGATATGATATGTTGATTTAATAGTTATATATCTATTTTTCAAGGTTTAAATCAAGATGGCTGCCTATGAAGAACAAAAACTCAAGAGGATAATGGATAATAAGAGAAAAATGGAAGAATTGAATCTCAGGCCACTTGCTTATGAAGTAGGGGATCTAACGAAGCATAAAAATATAAAGATCCAGAAAATCGTGAAGTCTAAGCAAGGTACTACAACCGATGATGTCTTCATACCCGACGAAGAAGAAGAAGAGCATTCCACGGAAGAGGATTTCACTAAGATGGGGCAAACAATCTTAAGACCTTGTTCAAAAAAGGTTTTGCAAACAAACATTATCTATTTTGTTCAATGGTTAAATTTGAATATGTGTGATCACTATATATATGTTTTAGGTTGTGGCTAGTGGAACAAAAAAATCTCAAAGGAGTACACAGAGAGCACAAGTCCATTATACTTCAATGGCCAGTTTCGTGACGACACGATCTCATATTTGCAAAAATGGAGGGATATCTTCACAAGCTATGCCGCAACAAAACATGAATGTAGGTAATGAAAATTGCTTGCTAATTTGCAGTCAAGATAAAATTGGGAACATTGTGAAAGTAAAGAATGGGGAAGACAAGATGATGGTTGCACCAGGGTCCCTTGGTAGTTTCCTCGGAATGAAGGAGCAACTAAGAACAAATATTTAGCTATCCAAGCAAAATGGCCTTTTAAACCAGCCAGTGGACAACTCACAAAAGCCGCCAAAAAACTATTCAAGAGTGCGTGAAAAGGAAGATGATAAAGGTCGTAGGTTTGGTTTAGTTGATGAAGATGAGGACTTCCAAAGCTTGGGTAATGATTATGTTGTTGAAGAACAAGTAGATTCAACTCGACTTGCCAACAATATCAATGAGAACACCCAAGTAACTGAAAAACAGCTTGATCGAGATGGTAAGCATTAAAAATTAGTTTAATATGTCTTTTACCTTTAATTTTGATTAGTCATTTGGTTCCTTTGAAATGTTGGAGGAGATGCTAGTTGCATAACTAATTAATGTACACAATATCATTCATACATTATTCGATTAATATTTGATCAAATATATTGAACTTTGTGTAGTTCTGCCAGAAGAGAAGCGAACTAGGGGACCAACTTTCTGTAAAGAAGTTAATAGTTGGAATCTAAATGAGCGTCGACCCATCTTCTTGAATGAAAAGCGCAAACCAGTTGGCCCTGATAAAGGCACTCTAACCAAATTTAGTCAGTTTTATGGTTCATTGGCTAGAGATTATGTTTTTGCACCGCTGAATTTTCTTGATTGGCGTCATGTTTCTGACAAAGATAAACTCTGGGAGTATGTGAAGGTACAATTCTGTAAAATTTCAAAATTTTGGTGGTTCTATGTACACATTTTTTGTGTTTTCGATTATATTTTTAATAGAACATTGTAAATAAGCACTACAATAGATGTAATACAAAAAATACTTTTCAGAAGAAATTCATTATTTCGGATGAAGGGAAAGAATATGTATTGTCTTCAATTGGTGCTCTTTGGCGTGCTCACAAGTCTAGAATAAAAAAGAAGCACTACTTTCAGTATGACAATGATGAAGATAGATGGGAAAGTCTACCAAGATCAATTTCAGATGCACATCTTATGGAATTATTGAAATACTGGAGTTTAGAGGAGGTTAAGGTATTTCTAGTAGTTCGTTATATATACATATATAATTTATTTAGGGAGAGATTAATTATAATGCTATCTCAGTACAGGAAAAAAGTGACAAGAATAAAAAGAACAGTGAAGCCCAAAAAGATAGACACACTATGGGACCTATTTCATTCGTGATAAAACGTCACGAGTTGGTAAAGAATTGTATACGCTTTTTATGTTCCCATTATATTTTTATTCCTTTTTCTAAATAGCAAGGTTAACTATTATTACATTGTATGCTAATCAATAACTAAAATATAAGTGCTTTTTTATGCTAAATTATTTTGTTACAGGAACAAGTTGAAAAAAAGCCACCTTCTTTAGCAACCATGTACATGGAAACTCGCAAAAGGAGTGATGGGAGAAAATACAAGACATCTTATGTAAGTTGTATTATACTTGAATTCATATATTTATTTTTATTTTTAAACATTCTTCTAATATTTTACATAATTAGGTGGAAAAACTACCAGAAGTTGGAAAACACAAACTTATGGGCAAGCCTACCAAAAATAAAGAACAACCTCCTAAGTTTGGTGTACAACTTATTCCTGATGAAGTTCTACAACCTTATACATCTCAGATTGTGAGAGAGAGTTAAGGAAATGGTGAAATTATTAAAAGATCAAATTTTATTGGCTTCAATAACCTCATCAATCAATGACCGCCAGACTCTTGAAGGAACCAATGACAAAGAATTATTGGAGGTAAAATTTTTAGTTGTTTAATCATACACTTGGATTCTTGAGTTTGACATATTTATGTTGTACAAATAATTGTTTGAATATTTGATTTCAATATGGCTAATAGTTTGTATAGAAACAATACGCATTTGCATTGGCATGACCAAAGTTAATCTTTCCATACTGAGAAGTTGAATTTGATTATATGTTATATGTAGAACTTCTAAGGATCTATCTCATTTTAAAAGATTGATTTAGTGTTGATTGTATCAGGTAAACGAATTCTTTTTTTCAGGACGATAATAGTGGAGCAAACTCACAATGAATACCACTTCAACTTGATAATGACTGCATTCATGGAAGAGAGCTGAGAAGTGAGGGTGACGATTTAGGGTGCTAAACTTATTATTTTTTTGAACCATGTTTAGAGATGTTCGTACTTTTGGTATATATTTTGGTTATAATTCCAGTGAATGTTTTGCATTTTGACGCACAATTTTTATAAGTAATAGCTAAAAAATTTTCATGATCTTTATTTGTCGAGTTCAATTTGATCGCTGGTAATGTATTATCAAATTTGTTACCAAAAAATCAAAATTAATAAAAAAAATGTGTTACATTAGCTCTAAAAAAGTAATACATGTAACATTGCAAAGTGTTACAAAATTACGTGCAAGTGTTGCAGCAAAAACATGAAAAGTGACACATGAAAATGTTATCATTTAAAAAATGCTACTGAGAAAATGTTACATTCCAATCAAAAGTGCGACGGAATAAATATTACATTAGATAAAAAAAAGTGCTACATAAACAATTATAGATAGCATTTAACAAATGTTACTTCAAAGTGCTACATTACATTATGCAATGTAACACATAAATTAAGTGTAACCAATAACTACTATAAGTGTTATCATAGATAATAGGTAGCACAGGCAACTGTAGCGCCAATATTTCTGTTATTTATTGCCTGTAGTAACATTTTATAGCCTTTAAGTATCATTTTTGTGATGCTACCTAAAGGTATTTATGTTGTAGTGCCCCAATTTTGTAAAACTACATTATCCATTTCATATTATGCAGTCAATATAGTGATGAAGTTTATTACTTTTATAATGTTCATTTTTGCTAAGAATAAATTTTTTTAAATGTGATACTATTATCTAACTTATAATTTTAATATAATTCGTAAGGGTAAAAGTGTAAAGTCATCTAAAGCCAAGCTTTCAGTATATAACACTAACAAAGGTTTCGCTTTTACAAGCATAGTCCTATCAATCCGTTATTCTAAAAGACCAATTTCGATCCTATCGTCATACACCTGACTCTCATTCCTTCCACGTGTTTGACGAAGACCTTCCCCGACAAACTCTTCGTGAAAGGATCAACAAAGTTGTCCTCTGATGCAATCTTGGAAAAATCAATGTCTCCACTACTAACTATATTGTTTGGATTGTTGGTGTTATATACTTAAGCTTTGCTTTAGTGGATATTACACTTGTTATTTCCTGATGAATGAGAATTATGTTTGGTTAAATAAGTTCCACGTTCTGTTGTTTTGC